ATGAAAAGTCACGGGGACAAGGATTTTGTTTTATAAAGATGACTCTGATGGTATATTAGAAGGGGAATTCAAAGAGGACAAAGCTAGAGGCAGGAGGACTGGTTAAGGAACCATTATAGTGTCCAGAAGAGGAATGGGGCTCAAAGTAAAGAAATAGCATTGGAGATAAAGGGGAGACAGAAAAGTGAAATACTACAGACATAAAATCAGTTGTTGACTGACTGGGTAAGGAAAGGAAAAGAAAGGCTGTTTCTGTCTTGAATGGATGATAGTCACCAAAGAATATTGACAGTCATCCAGTTGAAAGTCAATGGGTACAGCCCTGGCCGGTTTGGCTCAGTGGTTGGAGCGTCGGCCTGCGGTCCAGAGAGACCCGGGTTCAGTTCCCGCTAAGGGCATGTGCCTCGGTTGCAGTTTGTCCCCGGCCCTGGTTGGGTTGTGGGGGTGGCAGCCACTCGATGTGTCCCTTTTGCGTCGATGTTGCTCTCTCTCTCTCCCCCACTCTATCTGAACAAAATAAAAAAAAAAAGAAAGAAAAAGAAAGTCAATGGGTCCAATAGGATAAATAATCTCCAACTTGCAATTCCAAATAATTAAATAAATACATTGGCTTTTTTGTTAGGCTGTTTATATGTGGTTGATATGAATTTTTAGGATGTCCACTTTAAACAATGATTTAGTTTCTACACAGCTTAAATGATAATTTTCTAGCAGTATTTTCACAAAGTTCTCCAAAAGGGCTCAACTATAACCTTTGTTCTTAATACTACCTAAGAGGTCTCTGATATGTCATGGGACCATCCATGCCATCTCTGTTCTCTCAGTGATATTAAAAAAGCAGTGTGTGTGCATTCATCAACCTGGGACCTATATTATTCAGGTCAAAAGCATGTTACATTGTTCATTTTGCTCATTGAATTAAAGACTACAGGATAATCTCTTTGTCTTGGTTGTTTTCTCTGAAAACTGAGGAAACATAACAATTATTAATATGAAACAATCTATGTGATTTAAAGAGTAGACACTGACTTGCTGTCCACTCTTGCATTTCCCTTCATTCGTGAAATTTACCCAAGTTTTCTAATGGGCAACAGTGCCTTCCTGTTCTGAGCCACGTAGTTTAAATGGTGAATTCAGGTGTGAACTCATTCATTCTACCTATTTCCAGACACTGACTGAGAGATTCGCAGCAACTGTAGGCTAGGAGATGGGTCTTCTGGGAAAGAGAAAATTCTTTCCTCTTCCACAGTAGCTTACCAGAAAAGACTCTTACTCTGTGCAGTGTAGTGTGGGGATGTGAACCTGGAGCTGATACAGTTATTCCTGTCTGAGTGAAAAGCTGCCCAGTGGAACCCAAAGAAGTCAGTATCTCAAAAGGGAAGATGGTGTTTGAAATGCCTGTGGAAGCTTCTTCCAAAGCCAGGACTACCTGTGGACTTTTTTCATTTGCAAGAGTCAATACACTGCTGTTATGATTTAGAGGCCTTACGGGTATAATGATATATCCAGAAAATCATATGTACTTAAAAAAAAAAATCAAACATTTCTTTAATTCTTTTATCATGGCAAATAATTATTTAATATGATTTTAACCATAATACTTTGATACACATAATGAATATTGTTATTATACAACTTGAACTAATTAAATTCTTCATAGTAGGTATCAATAGCTCTTAACTTTCCAGGCCCAAACTATCATTTAACAATATAAGTTTAAAAGGCTTATAAAATCTGTTAGATATAGTTACGTAGAAAAATGTACTACAAACCATACATTTAAGACTAGAATATAAAAACTAATGACAATTATACTTTCCCACTTTATCAGGAAAAGGAACCAGAATATGTAGGAAAATACAGAAAAGCACTTTGCTCAAATACCAAAAAAAAAAAAAAAAAAAAAAATTACCCATTATTAATGAGTTAGTCATAAGAATTTTTGAAAATTTGTTAGCTTTCCCCCTTACTGCAGTTTTAGTTGATGTTAAGTTGTAAAAGCTAAAGAAAACGTGTTTTTAAATTGTTTTGATATATCTTCAAAGTTATGAATGTTATAAAGTAGTCAATGTTCAAATATATTTGGTAGTTTAACAATAACATTTTGCTTCCAGGATAATGTTCTCACACTTTATAGCTTTAAGAATGTACTTTACTCATGGGAACTAAACACTTTATGCTGTGTGAAACTGAAGAGGAAAAGTTCAAAAGGTAGTCCATGACTTCTTTTGTGGGGAGAAAGGGGGGTGGGGTTTAGAAAATGGATAAGACTGTTTGGATTATGTTGTTCTCTGATTTAGTAAAAAAAAAAAAAGCTAATGAATATAAGTTAACCCCAGGTTATCAACATTCTTCCTCAGGATAGATTTATGGTAAAAATAGACTACTGAACTGTCTTGTTAAAATTTTAAACATGACTTTGGATGAGTTACAAATAACATCCTCTACCCTTAGGTCAAAAGGAAAATGTAAACTCAAATTTTTTAGATAAGAGTACTTATTTTAGTTTTAGTGTTTATCCTTACTATTGAAATAACTATGTAAGTATATACAATCTTGTTTTTATTCTGAATATATAACACATTCTTTTCTTTAAAACATATTCGAAGTAACATGTTCATTTTATTTTTATTTTGAAATTTTTTAGAAGTACAAAGAGTAAATTGCACCCAGAAATAACTTTTGTTAATATTTTGGTGTATCTAATGTTTTACTTTTTCTATGTGTGTATGTGTAGATTGTGTGGGTTATTTAAAAATGGAGATTCTATTTTAGGTATAATTTAAAAATGTTTATGACAGAAATGGTTATTTTCCATGTCATTAAATATGTTTTTAAATGCAAAATTTCAATCGCACAAAGTTTAAAAAACATTTGACTTTCTTCAGTGTACAAAACACCATAATCCTTTAAATAACTTCTCTTTTGTGTATTTTGCTGGTTTATAAAGTTCCTAAATGTAAAAAGTGCTGTGATATATATTTCTACATGTAAATCTTTGATGTTATCATTATCACCCTATGATATGTGTTTAAGGTATGCAGTGATTAAGGTCATTGATATCTGTTTGTGACTTTATGTCCATAAAATTTATACTCTTCCACAAGAGTGTTTGTTTAAATATATACTCTCCACAATTCAATATTTTTAAAATCACTGCCAAATTAGTATGTAAACTATATTATTTCATCATTATGTTGACTCCTCTTTTTTTTTTTTTTTTTTATTAAAGTAAGACAATTGCAGAGGTTTCTGGTCCTCATACCTCTTTACCTGAGCCTCACACCCCAGAGGGAAAAACAAATTATTTTAACTGTTCCTTCTGGTATCTAACTACCTATATCTAAATAATGTGGTTATAGCTTTTGTTTATTTTGTCTACTTTAGGCATTATCTTTGGACTACCTATTCTGGAAGAGGAAGAAACAGCATGCTAATTCCTATCTACTCATCTTACCAATATGTTTATATCCTATTTCAGTCTATTATTTTGTGTTTTCTTCCTGGAATCTTCCCACAAGGAGGACTTCATCTTCTTGTTCCAACGTGGGCTGGCTGCACTCTAGACCTACTCCATGCTCTTCATCACAGAGTTGTCCTTGGCCTCTCTCCTGTGTTTAATCTCTATTTCTTGGATCTCATGTCTTCCTTTTCTTGCTGTATGCTGATGTTTTAATGGCACTCATTCATTTAGTCCAGAGGCTCTTCAGCATTCTGCCTGGGAGGCTGGCTCCTTCCCCTGCTCCAGCTCTTTCAACAGACATGTTCTAATCTGTGGCCTTTCCCGTCTGATTTCCATATCTGAGAAATTTGTTAAAACCTCTGCTGAGAACCCCTGATCCATACTCCTCATGTGGGTTTATAGCTTTCATATTTCTTCATTGTCATGATAAATGGGAGCTACAAAGGTGGGAAAATACATGCTTTCTTGAAACATAAAACCTGCTTCATCACTTAAATATTTTTATTGACTTTTGCCCCCAACTGTATTAGTCTCTTTTGATTCTTTTGGTAATCTTTTCCAGGTAACTATTTCTGTTTGTAGGTGATAAAATGTCTAAGAAATCCACTACAATGTTGTCTCTGCTGTGAGCATGGTCTTTCTCTTTACTTCAACTCAGAAGGAAGACTTCTGATCCTTGTTTATTTTTATAGTCTAGTCTCAGAAGTAGTCTCCACTGTAGAATTTACCTGAAGACAGTCTTATCTTTATCAAAGTGGTCTCTAACCAGGCTCTAGCTTCTCCAGGGACACTGTGCAGGATGAATTTAAATATGCATTAAACTAAGAGGCATTCTCTCAAATGAGTTCAAATGATTTGATTTTTAGAGAACCTATATGACATGTTTTTCTTAAAAACAATGCCTCTGCTCCAAATCAATTAAGTCAAAATAAATGAAGAGCTCAAGATACCATCAGTCCCATTTGTCTTAGTTCTGGCGTGTAGATGAAAAGCAGCAGGCAATTTCCAAATCTTATCAAGTGCCCATCAGTAGATGAGTGGATAAAAAAGCTGTGGTACATTTACACAATGCGATGCCATGCAGCTTAAGAAAGAAAGATCTCTTACCCTTTGAGATGACATGGAGGGACCGAGAGAGAATTTTGCTGAACAAAATAAGCCAGTCAGAGAAAGACAAGTACCATATGATCTCACTTATTTATGGAACCTCATGAGCAAAATAAGCTGTCCACCAAAATCGATCCAGAGTCATGGAAGTAGGGAACAGACTAACAAACCTCAGAGGAATGGGAGGTGAGAGTAGTGGGAAGAGATAAACCAAAGAACTTACATGCATATATGCACAACCAATGGACACAGACATTAGGTTGAGAAAAGCAGGAGAGGTTGGGAATGAGGAAGAGGGGGTCAATGGAGGAAAAAAGGGAGACATCATAATAATTTCAACAATAAAAAAAAAAAATAGAAAGAAAAGCAGCAGGCAGTTATGATGTCAGGTGACAGATCCAAATGCCAAACTTGTTAACATTTTCCATTTCTAAACTATCCTTAAAGTCATGTTGTCACCAATACAGCATTGGTAATTTTTGAAATTAGCAAGGATGTGCTTGATTTGTTCTGCAGCCCCTGTCATAAAAGGTTTTACTCTTTCTGGTCTCTGTTCTTCAAGTTTCCCTTCATCGATTCCATGTAATCTTTTTTTATCCTCACCCGAGGACATTTTTTTGTTTTTTTTTTTCAGATAGAGTGGGAGGGAGAGAGAGGAAGAGAGAGAGAGAGAAACATCGATGTGAAAGGGACACATTGAGCGGTTGCCACCCACACGACCCAACCAGGGCCGGGGACAAACTGCAACCGAGGTACACGCCCTTAGGGGGAACCGAAACTGGGTCTCTCTGGACCGCAGGCCGACGCTCTAACTGCTGAGTCAAACTGGCCAGGGCTCCATGTAATCTTTGATGTATTTCCTTTGGGCTTCTTTTGTGAAGCTAGATTCCTGCAAATGAAGGTTCATGACAATGTCAATAGCAGTGATTACTGTACTTTGAGTACTTTCACCCTCGGGGCCTTTGATATTAGCTAGTTATTAATAATAGAAAAGAAGCAAAGGGAAGGTCAGATATGATAGACATGTCATTTAGGCAGCTTCACCAGAAAGCTGCAATTTTACACTCCACAGGGACCACAGGCCCATTCCTGCAGATCACTGAGGGAAAGGGTCCAATAAAGGGGAGATGGTATATGCACAGTAAAGTCAAGGTGACACAGGAAGGGTGCCTGTTAGTCATACCTGAAAGCAGAGATCATTGGCCAGAATGAACATGGCCACTGCAAGCCTGCTAAAATTTGGGAACACATAATCCTCTAAACAAAGGAATTCTCTCTTGGCTTTTGGCTCACTCATGGCTATCCTTTGGCTTTGTACCTGCCTGTGTTCCCTCTATAGTAACATGGCCCACAGCCATGCAGACCCCACATGCAATGGACTGATGGACTGCAGCTGGGAACACAAGCAAAACTAGCCTAATGCTGGATTGGACATTGCTCCAACATAGAACTGAAACTCTGGACACTGGCTCTGCTTCTAGCCCTATTAAAGACACAGCGACACTTTTTCCTTGGTGGGACAAGAGGGAATGGGACCTTGGTAACTCAGGGATTTAATTCCACACAAATAAAAATCACTTGTTCTCCCATGTGAGTCTCTGAACATTTTTTTCTTGGGATATTGCAAGAATTCTAATCTTATTAGCAACAGGTGGAGGATGAGGACCTCCCCCCACCAGTAATACCTTTAGTGGAGGCATTTCCACCAGTGAGCAAGTCACAAATGTTACCCTCTGTCCTACTGACCACCTTCCCCTCTACTTCCAGGCACAGCCTATCTGTGATCTCCCCATGGAGACCATCTCATCATGGCTGATGAGATCCCAGTGGACAATCGTGATAGTGAATGGAAGGTGAGGATCCTAAGCTAGCTTAGCAGGAGCTAGGAACTCAGAGCAAGCACAGTACAGCCCAAGTGGTACTCAGTGAGGTGGGGGAGTGGGCAGAAAAGCTTTTTATTGACATGAAAATAAAGAATACAGTCAAAATCACTCGAGAAAAATTGAAGTGTTATAGAAGTACTAAAGTTGCCCATCCCCGCCTTCCTAGCACTGCTCTTAAGTCCTCACATAGGGGACGTGTTGCATATCCAGCATAGTGAAAGGGACAAAGAGAGGTAGGAACGGTACCATAGCTCAATGGTGAAAGCAGCAGGGAAGAGGTGGGCAGGGCAAATAAGATTTTTTTTTTTTTATAAGTTGGGTCAATAATGAGAAAATAAAGTCCCTTGTATCTAAGGTCCCAGCTCCTGTGTGGATTACCCCTTCTCTGCTGAACCATGCCATTCCTTTCAGTGGAGTAGGGGAAAGCAGTGGCAATGGAAAAAAGGGAAAATTACGAGATGGTATTTGCTTAGTCTTTGAACATGCAACGTTGGCAACCTGCGAGATTCATTCTATTAATTGCATCAACCACATCTTATGAACACATTTCCATAGGCCATATGTAATAGGCCTTGGCTCCACTCACTGCATTTATTGACTCCTCCGATTGCAAACATGTAATTTTTTTTTCACATCATTCTCATCAAATAAAGTTCACTTTAATTTTTATGAGCATATTTAAAACGGAAACTATCTCCCCAAATGGTCTGGGTCTCCGAGTGGCAGAGATTTTATGTGCTTCACATGTGAACTGCCAAAGATCTCAGGCAATGTACACATTCATCACGACCACTTACTGTTCTGGGTCAGATGTCTGCTCAGTATATGGGGCCTAAAGAGAAAATTATTCCAGTTGAGCATATCCATATATTGTGGCTTGAGCAATGTATTTTTGAAGTAATAAACACGATTTTGTTCCTAATTGGAGGGAAATGATGCTTAGAATTGAACCTATTGCCTTCCTGAAATTGAAGTCTAGAACACATGGAGACATTCCTTTCTAACAAACGCATCTGCTAATAGAAACAATCCACTAGGATGTTGAGTCCTTCTTGTGGAGGACAGAGTTCTTTGGAATTTACTGAAAATGGAAAACTGATTACACTTTAGCTAAGACAAGACTTGTAAAAGCCAGAAAAGAATAACTTTAAGGGGGATTTCAGAAAAATGTTATACTCTTTTACATTTTTTAATAGCCCTAAAAGGATTGTTGTATTAATATTGACAGAAATTAGGTGCTTAATTGATGATTTTAACTTAAAATAATGAATTGCTCTAACATTGGCTTAGAATTTTTCTTTATACAGTTCAATTTTGTGGTCTGGCAAATGCCCAATGGCCATTTATCTAGTGTGCATACCTTTCCACAGCTGGATTTTCAGATATGATTATAAAGTTCGTATGACAGAACCATCCTGAAAATAAATATGTCAGCAGGCTTTGCTTTATTTTATGTATTTATTCTGGCTGTAACATAACTCGATACAAACACAGACAACACTCTAAGACATTTTGCCAGAGCTATTCAAGTGTAGCATCATTTGAGATTGCAGAAGGTGATTTAGAAACACCTGGGTTGAATATTTATACCCATGCCTTAAATCCTAAAAGCCTTGCAGTTTTATAGTCCTTTCGGGGAAAGACAGGAACTACATTAACACTTGTTAGTGTAACAGTTAATGCACTGCTGAGAAAGACTTTGTAAAAAATTGGAAAATTATGCAAAAAATGTAAAGGGAAGATTAAAAAGAACGAATGTTTGATCGGCTTTTATAGGTTTAGTAATATATTCCTAAGAATATTTTTAGGAATATATCTTTTCTAGTTTGAGTCTCAGGAACATGAAAAGATGTATTGGAATAAAATCTAAATATCATATTCGAATAAGCATCCCTGTCTACAATAGCATTTAATAGAATATAATTCAGAGGTTCTCTGTGGTCCTCCTGGAACCTCTATGCCCTGAATGTTTTTTTCACACTCTCCTTCCCTACTTCCCTCCCGTCTATTTGGTCCAACTTGATACCACACAAGACAAAAAGCTCTCTTACTTTGATAGCAGAATATGAGCTGATGGATGACTAGGGAGAAGGACAATAGAGTTTCTTTCTCTGTTTATCAGCAACACATTTACATTTGAAACCTAACATCTGGAGAAGCTCCTCCACATTTTTGTTAGGAGCAGAAATTTTGGGCCAGTGTTCTAGGAGCGCAGCACTGTAGCTAGTGATATCAACATTTTTTTCAAAGTGGCAAGTTTCATAGGCTATGAGATAATACATTAGCCACATAAAGTGCTAGGCTTTAGGAAAAGCTCCCCCCACAAGATAATTTTTAACAATAATAGCAATAACAATAATAATTGCTAACATATCTGAGTACGAACTCTGGGCACAAAATGAATTACATATATTATCTCCTTTAATTCTAACAATCCCATGTTACTAATGCGATGTCCATATCCATGATCTGTTGTGATTAACAAACTACCTCCAAAATTAATGGCTTAAAATGTCAACCCTGAATTGAACTCATGAGTCAGTGGGTCGTGATTTGGGGTAAGGGCATCATTGGCTGGTTGTTAGTCTTGACCAGGTTTAGGTGATCCGGCTGAGCGCTATGAACTGGTGATGAGCTGGTGAGTCTGTTGGAAATTTAGTGGTCTATAAAGGCCTTAGATGAGAAAACAGGGCCTCTCCACCAAGTTTCTCATTCTCCAGCCTCCTAGCTCAGGCTTGTTCACGTGGCCGTCTAAGTTTCAAAGGTCCAGAGTGGAATCTGCAAGACCTCCTGAGGCTCAGGCTTGGAATTAGCACAACCATCTCATTTCTAGTGCATCCTGTTGATCAAGGGCGTCACAAGGTCTGCCAGGTTTCAAAGGGTGGGGAGATTGCTTCTGGGAAGGAGTTTCATTGTGACTATTTTTGCCTTCTGCTGTATTTTCTGAATCGGAGAGAGATGTCCTGACTTGCCAAATATCACACAGTTAATGAGTAACTAGACTCTCTTACACTGCTGGTAGGAATTATGCAGCCACCTTGGGAAACAGTTGGGCATTTTTTGAATTGTCTGTCTTCTTATTATTAAATTTTAAGGGTTCTTTATATATTCTGGATATGAGTTTTTCATCTGACATATGTGTTGTGCAGATTTTCTCCCAGTTCTTGGCTTGAGTACTCATTCTCTTGATGACACTTGTTTTAAAGAACAGTTTTTCACTTTAATAAAGTTCAGTTTACCAATTATTATCTTCCATGTCTTCTACCTTTGGTGTTCTATTTAAGATTGAATGAGTCAATGAGAAGTGCTTGAGAAGATTCAAAGGGTAGCTGTAGCAGTCTAAGGGCATGGCCTGAAATGGTACAAATGTTTTGTCTAATAACAAATTTTGCTGTCTATTTAATAAAATAGACTTACTTCCGATGTAAAAATTCACATTATTCCATGGCACAGAACAGTCCACCTTCAGAACATATGCACTCTAGGCTGAGAACCGTAGAACTGAGTGGCCATGAATGGCCACTTGCCTCAGAAACTAACATTATTATTCATAATGAATTCCAATATAAATAAAGTAGTGAGGCTACAATTAAAGGGAGAATTGTTATTGTAGTGTATATATATATATAATGAAATCTGTCTTAATCTTTTCTGACTATCAACTATACTAACTTTCTATGTAGATTCAACTATTCAACTGCTTAAATATGTCTAAGCTACTAATAAACCTTCCAGAATGAATAGCAGATGAACAACTGAATATAAATGAAAACAGATGCCTCAAAGAAGAGGATCCAGAATTGTCATCAACTCTTCACGATCACTACATGTTTTCTCTAACAAGCTCATATGCCCACAGCACATTGCCAAAGTTTATTGACTTCTTCCAAAATTTCTGTATGAAATTATGATTATGATCTCATAGAGTCCAGGATTACTGACTAAAGAGCACGCCTCCCCAGGATGTTTTTTCAAAGGAACTGGGGGAGGGAGGCACACATGCATTTGAGGACATTACTAGTCTAACCCGTGCTGAATGATCTCAGAATCTTCCAAAGTTCGACTCCTTTCAAATCTGAGAATCTGGAGTCTCTCCATGAGCCAAAGACACAAGGCAAGCAGAAAAGGATATGCATTGACCCAGTATTTGGTATCCACATTCTTGTGCCTTTAAGATATATATTTTTTAAATTGACCCATTGAAATATCAATATTCCTATGAATACATGCACATACTTGCACAATAAAGGTGTTCATGATATATGAGGAAAGATGGGTTCTCATACAACATAAAACATAAAATAACATAAAGCAATACTGTCTGCTCTACAGGTATTTGCTTGCAATTTAACATCTGTTTAAATGTATGTATAAAATATATTTAAGAAGTGATAATACGGTGATGGTAGCACAACAATGTGAATGAGCTTAATGCCATTGAACTATGCACTTAAAAATGGTTAAAATGCTGTGTTGCGTTATTTGTATTTTACCACAATTAATTTTTTTTTTAATAAGGAGAGAAGTGATAGTAGGTTAGATGGCAAATAGCTGAAGGTGGCAGCTAGGACTGAGTTTTTACTCGACAAACCCTAGAAGGCAAAATTCATTTTGTACCTTGTTTCTACACACACATCCATTTAACTCCTTAAGTAATCTCATGGGTCTATAGCCCTGATTTCATCTACTCTTTTTTTCTGACAAAGACTGTTTATTTTCAAAGACAGCTTAAGAGCGGGAAGATGCGCTCAGATACACGTGCATCGAGCCGCCAGGACACACGCTGATGGCGGGCTGTGAGTGGTGACGGTGAAGGAGGGATGGGGCTGTGAGAAGCATCTGTTAATTATTATTATTTTATGCATAGAAGCAGATATGTATTAAAATGTATGCTTACTAGAACAACTGCTAAAATGATGGTTCATTTTGATAGGAAAATATCAATCTCAAAATCTAATTTCAGGCAACTGTTCATTAAGCAGAATCATAACAATTCTCTGTGCTCTTTATGTGCTTATTTTTCTGATTGTGCTAGTTCCACGAAACATTTGCTAATGTTCCATGTAACGAATCACAACATGTGACTGGAATAAAGGCAAGTTCTTAGGGTTTAGTACCAAAAATACTTGAAAAGGCTAAGTGTTCATTTGTTCCTTTACAGTGACGTCTGGCTTCATGGCGTTTATGCCATTAATTCTAGAATCAAGTAGCTCACTAGGTGTGCAGTGCAGTTATTCAAGTTTATGTATTATGTGGGAATACATTATTGTATAAAATCCTAAAGTATGAGATTTCTTTGAAAAAAAAAATCACCAGTGAATTTTAAAGCAGCAGTTTTAAAATTTCATCTCTTTGGAAATGTTCTTAATTCTGAAGGAATGTGCAGCATTAACATAAACAGCTAGATTTTTTGAAAGATTGAAATTTATTTATTTTTTAGTTTAAAATGCAATAAATAGTTCTACCTTCCCCATACAACCTCTTTTAATACAAGTTCTCTTCTAGGTTTTATTTTTTTAATGCATTTTGACATAACTGTAACCATACTCTACATCGTTTATATCCTGCATTTTGAACTTAAAATCAAACATACGTTTTCCCTATAATATTGCCAAAATTTCATGTAGGTAATTTAAAAATCCAAGTGATGATGCCATTATAACTTTAGTTAATGCCATAATATTGCACATTTAAGTTTGCTGTTATAAAAATGCTCTCATGGCCCGGCCGGTGTGGCTCAGTGGTTGAGCATCTACCCATGCACCAAGAGGTCACCAGTTCAATTCCTGGTCAGGGCACATGCCCAGATTGTGGGCCGGATCCCCAGAGCATGCAGGAGGCAGCCAATTGATGTTTTCTCTCATTGATGTTTCTATCTCTCTCTCCCTCTCCTTTTCTCTCTCTGTCAAATCAGTAAAGAAAAAATATTTTTTAAAAAAATTTAAAAATGCTCTCATGAACACCTTCCTACATGAAATTTTCACAAATTTCAGATTGTTTCTTTGACTTAGCGTTTCAGTCAGGGTTCAACCAGAGAAGCAGAACTAGTGGACGATACATAGTAGGAGGTTCGCTGCAAGGAAATGACTCACCAGATTCTGGAGGCCAGTTGGGCAAGAGTGGAATCCTTGGGGAAGGCTGCCAGGAGGAGCAGTCTGCAATGCTCTGCAATGGGCTGAAACTGCTGTTCCACAAGCAGAGTTTGTTCTGGGAAAGCTCAGCTGCGTTTCCAGCCTTTCCCCTGATTGAATAAGGCCCATTCAGATCATCTAAGAAAAATCTCTCTTATTTATAGTTATTTGATTGTGGATTTTAATCACATCTAAAAATGCCTTCACAGTAATGCCTAGATAAGTGTTTATGAGTAACTGGGAACTGTAGCTTACCAGTTTGACACATCAAAAGACCATCAGGGTTACGTGTTCGGAAGTAGAATTACTGAGTCAAAGAGAATAAAAAGTTTTTAAAAATTTGATACATATATTCAAATTCCTTTCTAAAGGGTCACGGCAATCTTCTATGCTTTCCCACCTTATCACTGTCTTTCACACTTCCAGACGATGTGTCAGTGACACTATTGAGAGTGCCCTAAAATAAGAAAGTATTAGTGTCTTAAGATAAGTACACGTCATGGCAGTAAGTATTTAAGGACCTTGCTTTCCCAGGATAATTGGTCTGTCTTCTCCATGTCAGCATCTGCCCCATGGGCACTGTATAAGCCTCACTGAATGACTGCCCAGATCTATTTATAGGTGGAATTTAAATGTCTATTTAGCTTAGTTGGTGTGGCTCAGTGGTTAAGCATTGACTCATGCACCAAGAGGTCACCAGTTTGATTCCCAGTCAGGGCACATGCCTAGGTTGTGGGCCAAATCCTCAGTGGGGGCATGCAGGAGGCAGCCAATTGATGCTCTCTCTCATCAATGTATCTATCTTCCTCCCTCTCCCTTCCTCTGTCTCTAAAATCAATAAAGAAAAAAAAATTAAATGTCTATTTATTATTTACTCTTTACAGGAAATGTGTTAGGCACTTTGGGAGAATATAGAAGTATTAATCTTGTCCTCAAACAGTCTAAAGTTAATTTAAAAATAAATATTTGATGTTATATTCATGTTAAAGTTCATTTTTATATATTTCTCTAGTAAACAAGGTTAAATCATCTCTTTAAAATCTGTATAGCCTTGCCCTGGCCAGTTTGGCTCAGTAGTTGGAGCGTCAGCCTGTGGTCCAGAGAGACCCGGGTTTGGTTCTCGCTAAGGTTATGTGCCTCGGTTGCAGTTTGTCCCCGGCCCTGGTTGGTCGTGCAGATGGCAGCCACTTGATGTGTCCCTTTCACGTCTATGTTTCTCTCTCTCTCCCTCCCACTCTATCTGAACAAAAAATGGAAAAATGTCCTTGGGTGATGATTAAAATAAATAAATAAATACATAAAATCTGTATAGCCTTGGCCAGGTAGCTCAGCTGACTGAAGCATCATCCTGTACAAGGTTGCAGGTTCGATTCACCGTCAGGGCACACACCTAGGTTGAGGGTTCGATCCCTTGTCAGGTTACATACGGGAGGCAACTGATCTCTCACATCAATGTTTCTCTCTCTCTCTCCATTCCTCTCTCTAAAATCAATAAAAACATATCCTTAGGGGAGGAGTAAAAGAAAATAAATAAAAAATCCATACAACTACACATAAATGGCTGACCTCTGTCAAGCTTCTTGTTATTTCAGGTCTAGGTAGAGGTCCATATTATTTTAGTTTTACAAATCTTATTGTTAGGCTGAGGTTGGTGGGTGGATTTGGTGATAAGATTATATTTTTAGTTGAATTCGTAGTTCTACTATGTACTATTATTTATTTATTTTCTAAATCCTCAACTGAGGATATTTTTTCCATTGATTTTTAGAGAGTGGAAGGGAGGAAGGGAGAAGAGAGACACACACATAGATCAGTTGCCTCCTGAACTCACCCCAACTGGGACTGGGGATCGAACCTGCAACCCAGGTACATGCCCTTGATTGGGAATTGAACTCACAACTCTTCAGTGTGAGTCTAACCACTGACCCACACTGGTCGGGGCTATACTATTTTTTAAAACCTGTACAAATAACTTAAGCCTCCATTTTCTCACTTATAAAAAGTAGATAATACTATTTCTCTTGTGTGGTTATATGAGGATCAAATGACCCAATACACATAAAAACTATGGTATAGCCCTGGCTGGTTTAGTTCAGCGGTTAGAGCATTGGCCTGTGGTCCAGAGAGTCCTGGGTTCAGTTCCCGCTAAGGACATGTACCTCGGTTGCTGTTTGGCCCCAACCCCGGTTGGGGTTGTGTGGGTGGCAACCAGTCGATGTTTCTTTTTCTCTCTTCCTCCCTCTCTCCCTTCTGCTCTATCTGAAGATGAATGCAAAAGTCCTGGGGTGAGGATAAAACAAACAAACGAACAAACAATAAAACTATGGTGTACACGATGCATTTGTATGCCTGTGTATGTCTGAGATTCCCCTCAGTATTTTTTGCTTCCTTTCTGTCCCCCAGCCATGACCTTAACTTTTCAAATAATTTAGGGGCAGGACAGAAACTGGAACTGGCTTGAAAATTGTTCTTTTATTTCTTCAAAGCCTCAAACCTTTGGAGGATTTAGGTTTTGAAGAAAGCAGGAAGAGAGTGGGGGATGGGTGTAATGTGAAGACAGAGATAGAGTGCCTTGGAAAGTCATAAAGGAACAAATGTTCCTCCAGAGCACACAGAGGGCCGGTCCCCAAAGATGAGGGAGAGGAGGGGCTGGCAGGTCCTGAGAACAAAGGTATTTGCATGCTTAGTGGCAGTACCTGAAAAGCTGGGACTCCTAAGAGCAGGGCTGCAGAGCCCCAGCAGGGGAGCCCTAGGAAATGTCACAGTAGATTCCTAAGGAGGTGTGAGAGCCCCCAAGATCAGCCAAAGCTGAAGGAGCCAGACTGAGACATGTAGGGTTAAGGGATAACCCTGGTAATTGCAAGGATGGTTGCAGATGGCCAGAAGCCTTTGATATCATTTCACGTGACCCAGAATCCAAGCATCACTCTGGGTTGGGCAGGGACAGACTTTTCCAGCACTTACAAGTTTCACGGTAGCCCATTGGGATGGGACTTGGAAATTGAAGTTAGATTGATTTTTTTTAAAAAATTAAGAGATGAAGTGTACCCTGGCTGGTGTGGCTCAGTGGTTGAGCGTCGACCCATGCACCAAGAGGTTGCCGGTTCGATTCCTGGTCAGGGCACATGCCCAGGTTGTGGGGATGACCCTCAGTAGGGGCATGCAGGGGGCGACCAATCGATGTTCTCTCTTGTCGATTTTCTATCTCTCCCTCCCTCTCCCTCCCTTCTTCTCTCTCTAAAATCAATAAAGAAGAAAAAAAGTGAAGTGCAACAAAACTCGTAAATCAAGTTTCGCTTCCCACACACACTCTACAAGCGTCCTTAATGACGACGATTTAGCTGTTGTTGATACGGAAGTGGGTAGCGAAAGGAGCATTCACTGGCCGGTATCTCAATACTTCCTGCCATTTTACGGGCCTTTCTTTTTTTTTATTTTTATTTTTTTATGATCAATTATTGTATTTTATTTATTTATTTTTGTTAAATTTTTTATTTATTTTTTTGTTACAGATATTTCTCCTTTTTTTACCCCATTGGCACCCCCCTCCCCACCCCACCCCTGCCCCGTCCCCGGCTTAGTTGTCCATGTCCATTGGTCATGCATACATGCATATAAGTTTTGTGGTTTATCTCTTCTCACCCCCCTTACCCCTCTTCTGAGGGATGTCAGTCTGTGCCCTACTTCCATGTTTCTGGGTCTACCGTATTCCTCAGACTGTTATGTTCATTATATTCCATATATAAGTGAGATCATGTGGTATTTGTCTTTTTCTGCTTGGTTTCTTTCACTTAGGATAATACTTTCCAGTTCCCTCCATGTCGTCTCAAAGGATAAGAGATCTTTCTTTCTTACTGCTGCATAGTACTCCATTGTGTATATGTACCACCGCTTTTTTATCCATTCGTCTACTGATGGACACTTGGGCTGTTTCCAGATCTTAGCTATTGTAAATAGTACTGCTATGAACATGGGGGTACATATATTCTTCCTGATTGGTGTTTCAGGCTTAAAGATCATTTCTTTTTTCTTTCTTTTTTGGTACATGCCCCTAGCAGGAACCGAACCTAGGACTCTCTGGTCCTCAGGCTGATGCTCCAACCGCTGAGCCAAACTGGCCAGCTTACGGGCCTTTCTTTATCAGTTAATTACATCTAATTTCAAGAATTTGGAATCTTTCCACTGGTGTTTGCCTCCAAACATGCTAAAGTTGTTTCTTATCCTCAAACAACCACCACCAATTTCTCTTGATCCAACCATCCATCAAGTTCCTATATCCTTCCTTTGCCTTATTATCATTTCTTAAGGGTAGAGTCACACTTCCTTGTTGCCCACTTTCTTAACTCCCATGCACTGCCCAACTGATTACAGTCTGGCTTTGTTCTTTCATTGAGTAAGTGGTAAAAGTGGGTCAAATCCAAACAAGATGTTTTTGTTCTGCATCTTCTATAACCTCTGAGAACCAGTGGACACTGTATGCCACTCCTTCATCAAAAAGACTTGTTTTAAGATTCCTTTGGTGAATAGCACTGTGCTGAGCAGCGCTCACCTGCACCATGGCCTCCATCTGGGAGCTCACCTGCATCTACTCGGCTCTCACCCTGCAGGACAATGAGGTGCCAGTGATGGAGGATAAGGTCAGCACCCTCATGAAAGCAGTCAGTGTAAATGTTGAACCTCTCTGTCCAGGCCTGTTTGCAAAGACTCCAGCCATCGTCAACATCGGAAACCTGGTCTTTAGTGAAGGGGCTGATGAACTGGCACCTGCAGCTGGCACTGCCCAGCAGGAGGTTTCAAGATCCTCCTACTGCTGCCCCAGCTTAGGAGAAGACAGTGGAGGCAAAGAAAGGAGAATCTGAGGAGTCTGATGATGACATGGGCTTTGGTCTTTTTGACTAAACCTCTTTTGTGATACATTTAATAAAAAGCTGAACTCTGAAAAAAATTTAAGATTTTGTTGTTGTTGTTGTTGTTAACCCTCAACCAAGGATAATTTTTTTCCACTGATTTTTAGATAGAGTGGAAGGGGAGGGAAGGAGAGAGAGAGAGAGAGAGTGACATCACTTGAGAGAGACACATAGATTGGATGCCTCCTGCACATGCCCTGACTGGGCCTGGGATGGAAACTGCAACCCAGGTACATGTGCCCTCTGCTGGAATTTGACCAGAGACCCTTCCGTGAGTGGCCCATGTTCAAAGCACTGAGTCACACTGGCCCAATGGCCAGGGCTATCTTGTTTTTTGAGCAGTTTTTTTTTTTTTTTGGTACGTGCCCCTAGCAGGAACCAAATCCGGGACTCTCTGGTCCGCAGGCCGATGCTCCAACTGCTGAGCCAAACCAGGCAGGGCTTGAGCAGTTTTAGGTAAACAAAATTGAGAGGGAAGTACAGAAAGCTCCCATCGGCCCTCTGCCCCCTGCCCCCTTACAAACATAATCTCCCACACTATCAACATCCCCACCAGAATAATACTATGGTACTACTTTTTTTTTTTTTTAAACCAAGGATGAATCTACATTGATTCCTCATAATTACCCAAAGTCCATTTACCTTAGGGTGTTGTATATACTATGGTTTGAACAAATGTATAGTGACCTATATCTATCATTATTATATCATACAGCATATTTGCACAGCCCTGAAAAATATTTACTTTTTTTAATCCAACATTGTACAGAGTGTTTTAAAAACTCTCTATAAAGCAATATTGCTGGAAATAAAAGTCATACTACCCCTCCTTCTCCAGACCTGCTCTACTATTTTATCTCTACCATTCACTTAATGCCTTTATGCTCTATTCTCCTGGCCTAAGACTCTGTCATTCCTCAATGGTTTGGGCTTTTTTTGTTTTTGTTTGTTTTGTTCTTAATTCCTCACCCAAGGATACTTTTTCTATTTATCCTCAGATAGAGTGGGAGGGAGGGAGAAAGAGAGAGAGAGAGACAGAGAGAAACATCGATGTGATAGAGGCACATCGACTGGTTGCCTCCTAGACAACCTGACCAGGGCCAGGGATAAACTGCAACCAAGGTATGTGCCCTTGACCAGAATCGAACCTGCGACTCATTGGTCGGCGGGCCAGCGCTCTAACTGCTGAGCCAAACCCTCCAGGGCTGCTCAATGTTTTTTTTTTTTTTTCTCAATTCTCAAATCTAAGAGAATGCCAAACTCATTTGTTTATAACTAAGAAATATTTCTTAGCCATTTCTCTCTCTCCCACTTTCTATTAGGATAGGAAGCTCTCATTTCTTTCACAATTAGAATACTTAATAAACCCTAAATGATTTTCCTATTGTTAACCAGAATTTTATATTTTAAACTGTAAACCAAAGCCAATGATATACACATCCCTCCCACAAAGTTCTCCATTGTCTCTCCTTATGGTCTCTGTGCCTTCAGGATAAAGTCAGAATACCCTACATCAGTGTATCTCACAAGGCAACCCCTGCATCAGCAGAGTTAGCCCCCCTGGGAACTTGTCCGCAAAGCAGTCTTGAGCCTAGGCCTACTGTAAGCAAACCTCTCTGGTCTAGTGATCCTGACTTCAATGAGCCCTGCTCTGGGTGATTCCAGACCTGGCACCTTTCCTGCATTTGCATTCCTCATGAATCTGAAGTTTCCTTCTCATCTAGCTTCTCCTCTTGAGACTTTTGGACTGTTCTATCCCATGGTGTGGAATGCCACACTTGCATTTTTCTTTTCTTTTTTGGAAAATTGCTGTTATTTCTTCAATATCCATCTCAAGTGCTGGGAGAACTCTGACCTCCCTCAAGAAGCACACTTGCCCTCTCCTCCATCAGCATTTTGTCCACATCTCCGTAAAGCTTTTACCATGCTGCATTTTTTATTAATTAATTAATTAATTAATTAATTAATTAATATTTGTTACAGATGTTTCTCCTTTTCCCCCAACTGATTGCCCCCCCTCCACCCTGTCCCCAGCTTTGTTTTCCATGTCCATTGTTCATGCACACATGCATATAAGTTCTGTGGTTTATCTCTCCCCCACCACCCCCTTTTCTGAGGATTGTCAGTCTGTGTCCCACTTCCATGTCTCTGGAACTACCCCATTCCTCAGACTATTATTCCACAAGTAAGTGAGATCATATGATACTTGTCTTTCTCTGTTTGGCTTGTTTCACTTAGGATAATACTTTCCAGGTACCTCCATGTTGTTTCAAAGGATAAGAGATCTTTCTTTCTTATAGCTGCATAGTACTCCATTGTGTATATGTACCACCGCTTTTTTATCCATTTGTCTACTGATGGACACTTGGGCTGTTTCCAGATCTTAGCTATTGTAAATAGTGCTGCTATGAACATGGGGGTACATATATTCTTTCTGATTGGTGTTTCAGGCTTCTTAGGGTATATTCCTAGAAGTGGGATCACTGGATCAAATGGCAGTTCAATTATTAATTTTTCGAGGTAATATCATATTGTTTTCCATAGTGGCTGCACCAGCCTGCTTTGCCACCAGCAGTGTACTAGAGTCCCCTTTTCTCCACACCCTCGCCAACACTTGCTGTTTGATGATTTGTTGATGGTGGCCATTCTGACAGGTGTGAGGTGATACCTCATTGTTGTTTTAATTTGCATCTCTCTGGTGATTAGTGATGATGAGCATTTCTTCATATGTCTCTTAGCTATTTGTATGTCCTGTTTGGAGAGGTGTCTATTTAGTTCCTCTGCCCATTTTTTAATTGGGTTTTTTGTTTTCCTTTTGTTGAGTTGTATGAGCACTCTATATATGTTGGAAATTAACCCCTTATCTGATATATCATTGACAATTATGCTCGCCCATACAGTGGGTTGCCTTTCCATTTTGATGATTGTATCTTTTGCTGTGCAGAAGCTTTTGAGTTTGATGTAGTCCCATGTGTTCATTTTCTCCTTTGTTTCTGTTGCCTTAGGTGATGTATCAGTAAAAATTCTGCTGCGTATGATGTCTAAAATTTTGTTGCCTATAGTTTCTTCTAGGATTTTTATGGATTCATGAGTCACATTTAAGTCTTTTCTCCATTTTGAGTTTATTCTTGTGTATGGTGTAAGTTGTTGGTCTAGTTTCAATTTTTTGCATGTAGCTGTTCAATTTTCCCAACACAATTTATTGAAGAGGCTGTCCTTACTACACCGTATGTTCTTGCCACCTTTGTCAAATATTAATTGATCATATTGCCTTGGGTCCATTTCTGGGTTCTCTGTTCTGTTCCACTGGTCTATATGCCTGTTCTTGTGCCAGTACCAGGCTGTTTTGATTACAGTGGCTTTGTAGTATGACCTGAAATCTGCTAATGTGATCCCTCCAACTTTTTCTTTTTCAAGATTGCTGTGGCTATTCGAGGTCTTTTTTGGTTCCATATGAACTATTTGTTCTAGTTCTGTGAAGTATGTCGTTGGTATTTTGATGGGGATTGCATTGAATCTATAGATTGCTCTGGGCAATATGGACATTTTAATGATGTTAATTCTACCAATTCATGAACAAAATATGTGCTTTTACTGTTTTATATCTTCCTCTATCTTTTTTTTTAATGACCTGTAGTTTTCTGTGAAGAGGTCCTTCATTTCTTTGGTGAAGTTTATTCCTAGGTTCTGCATAAGAGGATTTCCAGAGGGTGGTTATTAATGAACTTTGATTTGTATTTCTTTGCCTCACCTGGTAAAGGCTGGATCGCTGAGGGGGGTGGCTGCTGCTTTCCCCCTCAGCTTGGGGAAGGAGCACACTGGCCACTGTCCTTTGTGGCCGCAACTCAGCAGAAACTCTGAGTGCCCTCCAAATTCCGGGTGTCCCCACAGAGTTCCAGCCCAGTCTGTCCTCCCTCTGCAGTAGCCCGCAGGTGAGTGGCTGTGGCTATTTTAGTGCTCTGTCCTGGCTCTCTGCACTGTCGAGCAGACTTGGTCTTTATTCTCCAAGGGTGCTGCTCACAGCTAAGACTGCTGTTGTCCGTGGGCTCCTAGCCTACCTCCCTCTAGCGCCTCTGCAGAACCTACCAGTGTCTCTGGTTACATGGTCCTGTCTTGCTGCTTTTCTGTTGCTATTTGCTGAGGATTTGTCTTTATTTTAGTTGTAATTTCCATTTGGTCCTGGGAGATCTTCTGTGTAGCTTCCATTCACCCTGCCCCCATTTTCATATTCTTTATGCCTATCTTGTGCACAGCTGGGTTGCACAGGCCTTCCTGGTGCCCCAACACCCTACAGGTCCCGCAGGTAACTGGATCACACAGTCCCTTTGGGGACCTGGCTCTATGCCTATGTTACGGGCTACTGGGTTGCACAGGCCTCTCTGGTGCTTCAGCACCCCGCAGGTCCTGAGGGTAATTGGATGGCACAGTCCCTGCTGGGTAGCACAGGCCTCTCTTGTGCTTCAACACCCCACAGTCCCAGTGGGTATCTAGATTGCGCAGTCCCTGCTGGGTTGCACAGTCCTCTGGTGCTTCAGCACCCTGCAGGTCCCGTGCATAACAGATTGCACAGTCCCTACTGGGTTGAACAGGCCTCTCTGGTGCCACTGCACCCTGCAGTTCCCACTGGCGGGCAGCTGGATAGGACCAGTCT